TGACGTTATCGTAGGCGGCTACCGCATTCTTTTCATCGCCGCTCCCGCTTGTGAGCCTGCTGCTTGCCTCTGTCTTCAGGTGTTCTCTCCAGGTGTTTTTCAAGAAGACGACTGCACAAAACGTGAGTATCGGTGCTTCTCCCACTTCTGATCCGATCTAAAACTGCTATTGATACCTCCTCAAATTTGTAATCGAAAAAGGGGAAGAAACGCTCTTTGAAATTTCAACAGAACCATAGACCAACATCAAGAACATACAAGTGTGAAGAAACAAAGAAGTTTGTCTGATGTGTGACACATTCGTCTTTATTTCCTTAAAAACACTGCCAACCGAGGTGAAACGTCAACATCTACACAAACTGCCAAGAAAAAGAAAATTGTTGGATCCTCACGTTATCAGTTTATAGACACAGTATTTGCTTATGGCTTAGACCTCTTCAAACAGTATTACTCGCAAATGAGTGTTGGAGGAGATTGATGTATCGTTAGGTGTATTATGCGTTTTTTTTCCTATGTTAAATATCCTTCCTCGTATGGTCGAAGTCACCCGTCACTTACTCTGCTGGAGTTCATTTAAAGGCTCGGGCAGGTCACGCCATCGGTGTGGAAAGCACGACTGGGGGTCGTATTCGACCGCAAAGGGGGGGGGCAGGTTATAGTAAGCGCGGCTTCCAATCAGAAGTGGGAAACGCAGCTATATTTACGTGTTGTGCAGTCGTTGAGTGATGAAAGGCTTATTCCTGCTTTTGTTGTGAAAGACATCTGAAGACAGGCAAGTAGCAGGCTCGCAACCCACTGTACTATTTCATATTGCTCCTGCTAAAAGATTCGTTCTAGAAGCACACTCACATACTCACGTATGGGTTTTTCGTGTTGCTCTGAAAAGCGAACAAAGGAAAATGAAGTGTTTTTCCCAGGAGGAGAAGATTTCTGGGTTCCAGCAGTGCTTTTGTTTCCACCACGAATGAGAAAATTATGGCTATATGAAAGATGAAACTTCATAGTTGACACTAGAACTTGAGAACGCTCCCTCGAAAAGAAGTTATTTAGAACGGATCGAGCACATTTAGAAATCATTTAATGACTATCAAACCTAGAGCTACATAGCCCTGCTTGTGCAGCTTCAGAAGCGATTCTTCCAAGAACATTATGGATGTTGAAAGGTGCTTATCCCTCCGCTATCGCTGGGGATAAATAGCTTTTCGACACCGGAGAAGAGCATTTGTATGGTAAGGTTTATTGTTGGCCTGAGTATGTATGGCGGCATAATCGAGTGGAATATATGAACGTAACCGATTAGATACTGATATACAGATATACATGTAAGTGATACAGGTACAATGAAGCATATGTAGCTTCGTATAATGGTAATACTGGCAGAAATGTAATGTGAGATACAGTATACGTCATGAAGGCTGCTTTGGTACGTAGATCCCTGAGATCCTAATAAGATACATGTCACATGTGAGCAATATATATGATATTCCACTCATATACTATATAGAGTACAATGTCTAGATTCCTAT